AATAATTGATAATCATCGTCTACATTTTTGTGAGACCTGTAACCACTCTAGTCAAGAATACTTGTGAGAGAAAGGAAAGGCACAACGCTCTGAGGTCAGCTGTCAGTTCACTTTGCTATCTTAGAAGTGAACTGTCAGTCAGCACTGTTCATATGATGCAACTCCTCCCCTCCTGACTCTGTCAGTGTACACTGTGCACTATAAAGCAAAGCAGGTGGCATTTTATGATAATCAAGTTAAGAACCAAACATTACGTAGCAAAATTTCTGTGAGAAGTCACTAATGGCTGACTCTGTGAATCATTAGGTGCAAATACATGAAATCTGTTCTAGACTGGCCACTGCAGCAGAAATTACATATTAAAAGGCAGAGACAGAATCCTGAACTCTGTGACCTTTGTGTGGGCCACTTCATACCAGGAAGATCCCATAAGACCAGCCATTATGGAGATGCTTTGACCCAGTCACACTGACTTTACACTTGTGTAATACATTTCATCACTTGAAAGCTGCTAATGTAACAAGGTAATAAATGTCACAAGTTTTAAAGTACACTGTGTAATGTAATCAAACTGTTTACCAGAAGGAAAGTGGGATTTTTTTTAGCCGAAGATTAGCTGGCATAATGCTAGCTTATAACCAGCTGTTGATTAGCTGACTTGTTGTCAGCTGTCCAGAGACAAGAGGGTCACATGTCAAATCTGCTGACAATTAGCACTGTGAAAATATCGAGAATAAATGAGTGTGTTTATGGATGTGACTGACTCCAGTCCAGTTGAGAGGAAGAGAATGAGGTGGAAGAAAAATGTTTCTCAGCTTCCAGATGGTGGCTGAAGCAACTACAAATAAGAGTGAAGGAAACCGTTGATTGGCATATGACCTGCTACGTAACACATTAGAGGGTCACCTAGGGAACCAGCTTCAAAGCGACGTGCTTCTAGTGTGGACGCATCTTAACCCTCGCCCGTGACCATAACTCTAACCCCAAATTTTGTCCAAATCCCAACAGTGGGCAGCAATAATCCTTGTACAATAGCATACTGGTTACTACTTGCAAACAAACCATGGCAAAACTAACCAGTCAGATCAAAATCAAGATAGTCTGCTAAGAAATGAGTCCATCAAATGCATTTTCAAACATTACAGCAGTTTCGTTTGCTAAGCATCGACACACAACCATTGACTTCATACATCCTACAAGATTCTCTTTAGAGGAGAAAAGAAGATAAATAGGCAGACAGAATGAACAGAAGTAAATACAAAAAAGGCACACATGAGTACGTTTAGAGGTCAGTGTGCATGTGTTCACTCCCAGTACTAACCAGCAGGCCCTTTGGCTGTTTACTCTCCATTAATGTGCCAAGAAATTCACTCAATCTTAATCAAAAATCTGTCACCTCTTCTCTGATAAAAACTCTCAATTTAAAAACACACAAACAAACAGGAAATGGGTGGACAGAATGATAAAACTATCATTACTGTTTTCATCATCTTTTTTTTTTTTTTGGAAATTGCTTTTGTGTCAACTGTTTTATCCAGTGCGTGAAGCTCTGGCCATGCCTCTAATGGGTCACGGAGTCTGTCCCACAAAAGTATGTGAAGGTAAAAGAAGTAACCAGGCCAACGGTGGCTTAAAGGAGATGCAGCCTTGTGGCAAAGACAAAATGTTGCATTTCATAGGAAAGAGTAGAAGAACCTCAAGGGTTTGTGGGGCAATTAGTTAATTAACTAGTTCTCTTCTCTTCTCCAAAGAATTCTTTAAAGGTCAAACATTTACTTGATGAACTGGTTAGCTTATCAATATACAAACTACGTGATCTGATTACTCTTTTTTTTTCCTTTATAAAAACTTAAAAACAACTGCTCAGATATTCTTCATATTCCTCAGATAGCTTGTATTCTTCCCTGAATCCACACTCAATGAGCTATTATTTTTCATTTTAAAAGTATTGAATACATAAATGAAAGACCATTCACATTGTTTTTGCAATGCAGACTTCAGGCTATATGACGCATACCCTAATTTAAGATGAGCAAAAAGATCCTTTCAATTTTCAGTAAAGTTCAAAAACTAAAAACCACAACACATTTGAGCAAAAAAGGCATTTTCAGTTGTTTGTCATTAAAGTATATAAAATGCCTTAAACCTTAAAATTAAGCTTAAAAAAAGGAGAAAGAAAGAAGGAAACTGAGTAACATCAGTGGTTGCTGGCTACATTACAAGCCATAAAAATAAGCTGTATTGGCTAATTCGCTACCATACTTAATCCATTATCACAGCTCAGTTTTCCTAAAATTAGTTTTAAAAAAACATAATAAAGAAAAAATTATGAATAAAAATAAACTTGGGCAGTTGGAGATATGGTTGGAGTCATGGTCATTAATATACTTCACTACAATCATTAAGGTAATTCGAGTGTTCGGCATATTTGCATTGTTGAAAACAAATTGTTCTGCGACTGCGCCTGAATAAATAAACAGCTCAAACAGTTCACGTTTAAAAGCTCAGCACTTAACACCAACTGTAATGGATTTTTTTTTTCTAAATAGGCTGTGACTGGATGGGAAATAACAATTACTTATTTCACTTTTGTGAAAACTTGATGCAAAAATATTCTTTCACTGAACTATAATGTTAGCACCCGTTTGATCCTGCCTAGTTATGGTGGTGGTGTGTGCATGTGTGTGATTTGTGTGGTGAGAGACTGAGCATAATAACCTCGTGAATTACACACATCAAGAAATCAATATTACAGGGAGGTCTTCTCAAGAACTGCAGAGCAAGGGGGGGGGGCAAGACAGACAGATGGAGGAGTCATGTGACACCCGGTGGCCAATTAGCAGGACAGAGGCGTAAAGGCAAGATTAAGAATTCAATGCTGGCCTTGCAAGTCTACCTGACTACTGTGTTCACTGAGTGTTTAGAGTCAAATTACCACATTGGGTGATGTTTGAAAGGTCATGTTTGAAGGCATGAATACTTCTCTGTGTTTGAGAGTGCGTGGCTGATTGCCAGCTACCTTGGTTAACAGCAGCACCCGCTTCTGCAGTCGACGGACAAGAGCGTCCTGTGCCTCTCTCTTCTTTTGCTCCTCCAGAGTCTTGCTGTGCTGCTGGGTCAGCTCTGCACGAAGCTCAGACTGTGAACGCTCCACACTCCTCACACTGACAGAGCAGAATAAATGAATTGGTGGGAAGCAATTTTTATGTCTGCGCGTGCGTACGTATGTGTGTGTTTGTTAATAACAGGGGAGAGAGAGGAGAGAGAAAGAAGGACAGAGGTTGATTAGTGCAGAACAGTCTGACAATTTGAGAAAGGCAATTTATAGTCAATTTATAATAAGACTCACAGACGACTTACCTGACTGACACCAAAAAAATCCCAGACAAGGATCCAGA